AAGCACGTTGACAAATGCATCAAATATGCCCAAAGGACACTCGCTCTGGATGACAAGGATGGAGGTTGTTTATGTAAGACTCCGAACAGAAATTAGCTAAAATAGGAACTGCTTTAATCACTTACATCTGAGATTCTATGATATTGTGTCATAAACATACCGCGCTTTAGCACTCTCAGCTTTGCCAATTTACTAAATGTTTACTTGGTGTTTGTCAATGATTGTGTTCACCCTTCACATATTTTATAGCTATAGTTAAGAAGTAGCATATAATTAAATTGAAAACAGATTAAGGTGCGGAAATTACATACTTCGGTACATGGAACCATGAAGTAGCATATGTGCAGTACGTGGAATTTTATAAAGTATATGTTATACTTATGAAAACATCCAAATGTCCTGCTTTACTAACAGTGTATGTTATAGCTAGATCTTTACTAGTATAAGCACACAGTTTTAGCTATAATAAACATTTTGATGAAAACCCAAGTCCTCCACTGAGCTTCATTTGGTTGGTAGATATCTTAGGATGTGCATATTTCACTTCCTTTCTTCTGAATGGAGGATGGGATCACAATAATCTTCAAGTGGCATTTGGGGAATACGAGAAAGCTGTAAGTTCTTACAATCTTGTTTCTGTATATTTATTTCCCTTTTATTTTAATATGAAATATATGTGTGCAGTATTAGCTCCCTGTAAGCCTGGTTTTTTTAAATACTGGGAAGTTTCTTCTTATTTTTTACCCTATTTCAGATGAAAATTGATGCAATGAAGTCAAGCCCATATCTTCAATACGACTATAGCACGGTAAGTTGTTGTAAAAACAACAACTGATTTTCACTTGTGAACTGTTGTATTATATATAGGATTTTTCAAAACACAAGGTTCTCAACTGTTGCTAATTATCACCACGTACTTTTATGATGGTGTTCTTAAAGAACAATAGTTGGAAAAACTAAATGATCTAAAGGTTGCAGAAAAGGCCTCTAAATAAGCTTGGTTCTCTCAGTGTTTGAGAATCATTAGGATCTATGTTGATATATAAAGATCCAGTGGAATGAAAGTTGGTGGACTAAAGGAAATATTCATGATTAGAAATAGAAGCATTCTCTCATAAAATATGACATATATAGACTTCACTTTCCCCATTTCTAAAATTCAATGCCATGTAGGGCAAATTTGATATTTGTTTTCCCAGGTGACTAGATATCTGGAGAACTACAAGGAGTCCCTAATTGGATTTTCAGATGCTGCAGTAAAGAATCCTGCTAGTGATGCTTCACATCAAGTGAAAGTAACGGTCCAGCTTCTTGACAAATTAATAGAATTACTCCAGGTAAGATTATTTGATTGTGTTTATTTTATATAAAGCATCCACTAGTCATATTATAATCCATTGCATTAAGAACGGCTTGGTTGATGACATTAGAATCATAAGGGAAGTGAATATGATCAAAGGTGCATTGTTTCCAGAAAATATACAAAGTGCAGGCCCAGTGATAACTACTTACAAGAGGTACTGAAGGAGTCACATTCCCTGCAATTGCACATCTGACCTGTACAACTCCTCACTTTGCACAGTGGAGTGCTTTGATGCATTCACACATACCTGTCTCTAGTATGGAACTCTAATTAATCACTAATTTCATCATCAGAGTTAACAAGGAAAGCTTTCTGTTTCCTGCTATAATATAATGTATGATGAAGTAGTCCTTTAAGATGGCTTCGGAGATAACCATTCATAATCTACAAAGTTCTGCTTTGACAACCTTTTGTTAACAAGTACTAAAGATAGCTAGAGAGGACAGATATAACATGAAATTTGGTTTTATGGTATGACAGAAAAACACTAAAAGATAGTCATGCTTTTGATTTCTGAAATTGTCCTAATGTGTAGGCTTAAGGTGCAGTTGATTGAGTGATTCTCGGAATATTGCCATACAAGTAGAGGCTAGGAAACTGCGATTAGCTTAGATTATGTGGAATTAAGAGTTGTTTGGATAGAAATATTCAAGTTGGGTGTCTAAGTAATACTGTACTATGGCTACCCCAGAAAGCTTTGTAAAGTTTCTCCTACTTGGCGAAATTTTTTATGAATCCTTTTCACTTACTACAGCAAGAATAACAACATTCTCAGTGGAATCCCACTAAGTGGGATCTAGGGAGGGTAGAGTGTAAAGACCTTGCCACCACAAATAGTTGCAAAAGGTACTCATGCACAATAAAGAAAAGGAGATGAGGTACTGACCGTATCTTGTGTCCTTCAAATAGTCCAATTTATTTGTGCAATGTGTTAACTGATCAGGAGCATAGCCCTGTATTGACTGAATGGTGCATGAGGTACATTCTTGAATTTTTTCAAGCAACGGGAAAGTTATGATATAGTCTTTAAAAAATACCTTGAGATTCTCACCGTTAAATACTTTCTTCTTTTGAAGCTTTTAACACATTATGAATGAGATTGTGAAGTGCATTTGAATTATGTGATCCTGCTTTTCAGGGTAAGCATAAAGACAAGAGTAAGGGGAAGAATAAGAGAAAGAGTAAGCGAAAGAGTACGGAAACAAGCTTGTCTTCCCTGATCCAATCACTTGCTAATATTGATTGTAAGGCTTTCCATTCTTTTTAGATATTTAACTGTAAACAATGAGGAATATGATTGAGCTATTTATCTATTAGTTGAGGTAATAGAGTGCTTTCTGGCAGTGAATCCTTCATACAAGAGAGCAACCGTGGATCTCCTAACTGAAGGCTTTAACGAACAGATTGAAGTTGTAGCAGCAGTACGATGCTTAGTTAAATATGAGTATAAAGCTCCAGTGTAAGTTACTTCATCTTGGAGGAACCTACACGAGTTTATCAGTATTAGCATTTCCTTGAAATGTGAAAGTTACACTTGTCTGTGCAGCCCTACTTTATGCTTAAATACTTATTTTTCAATGTGTACTCTTATTCTACAGATACTATATGCTCTGTGACTCTGATGAGAACAGTTTTGTACTTGCAGTGTTCGGCATACAGAAGGAAGCAGTAAGCACTACTTTGTGATGTTTAATTGTTTCTTAGTACATTTATCCATTAAGCTCGTACTTCCTAGAAAAAGGTGGTCTAGTGAAGTATAGTATCTAAGAGAAACCGAGATAAGAAAATCAAACAAATAAATTTTAGATATTGACACGTCAGTCTGCTGCTAAACTGCTACAGCACTACATGCCTAATAAATAAGCGAAGGATCTTTCCTCTCCAACTACTGCTGTTAAGGATCTTTGTTAAATAAGAAGATGAAAATAACATTAACGGAGCTTCTTTTAGGAAACGCATGCTCTATGAAAAGTTGATACCGCAAGGACAAAAAGGAATAGTAGTAAAAAATGACATAGGAACTAGATTTTCACATCATTACTTAACAAACTTTTCTTTTTGACAGATTAAACAAGGAGATCAGGTCACACTATTGGATCCCATTTGCAAATTTGTTGATTTTGAATGGGAAGGAAAGGTAAACTCGTTATAATATCTATGGTACTTCAGATGCAATGCTATTACAAATATCATTTTTCCTTCTGTATCACGTTTTTTCTTTTCCTGTAAGCACCACATATTAGATGTGTTCTATTAGTTTATACCCCTTTATTTTGTGTAAAGAGCCCACCTTATAACACGTCAAGGCTGGGTGCACTTGAGCCTCTAGCAGTGGTAATTTGGTGTCAATAGGGAGTTAATCTTCCCTTGTCTTGGTTATGACTGATTGGAAGCAGCGGTCTTCCTTAAACAGAAATATGAAGTCATTTCTTGCTATATCTGAATTAAAGTTTCCAAATGAATTAAGGTGGCTACTTTTGGGATGTTGAGTAATTGGATGAAAAATGATATCGTCAATCATTTGCCTTGCTCGTATGATTTATAATAATCTGCCAGCCAAATTTTGTCACTCCTCGCTAATACATTGTTATTTCTACTGCAGCACTATGAATTCAAGTCTGTGCGAGTTAATCTTCTGGAACAAGTCCTTGTAAATGGAAATCCCCTGCCTCCTAGCTCTGCCATGCGTGACTCAATTATGCAGAACTGAGGGTAAAATACTCGTCTATTAAGCAGGTGTGGGAACATGAAATGAGATAAACTCTACTGGCCGTGTATATTTTTTTTTTCAATCTGATCTGACAGTGTCATTTCCTTCAGATGATATATTTCTTTGATATAAAGTGAAACTTGTGTTCACTTTTGTAGTTCTTCCGTCAAATCCTATTCAGTTTGTAGTACTGTCCTGTTATGTTTTGCGCTACTGTCTTTTAATTGAAACTTGGAATTATACTTGTTTTGTCTAACTCAAAGACATCGATCTGCAAGGATAAAATATAACAACTTCTACAAAAAGTTGGAATTGATTAATGAACTTGTATCATTCATACATTTGGACTATTTCTACCTTCTAATGCGAATTTGACAAATGAAACTTGTGCAATAAATGAGTCAATAACATATCTCCAATAAATCAGAAGGAAAAGCACAACACATTAATTGTAGTGATCATTTACATAAATTGGTACTTCATTATTTCAAATGATTACTCTTATACATAGGACTCGATATACGAAAAATACCCCTAAAGCTGAATGATCATTTTGTTGCTTTTGTTATTAATATAACTGTTCACATCCACCATTTTTAATAGCTAATAATTTCATAGTCTAAACTTCTAACTAATGCCCAACTTATCTATAGTCCTAATTACCTGATTGAACTTGGGCATTTGGCTACATGGATATATAGCCTTTAAAACATACCAAGCAAATGATAAATATTTTGTTAAACTTCTGGATAGTTTTAAATTTATTGTTTCGTGAGGTAGGTTGCTGTAACATAAGCCTTATTCATACTATTACTCTATGTCTGCAATACTTAATAATTATAATATATATTTTTTTCAAAACTCTATTTATAACTTTTTAGTAGCTTTGTCTTCTTCTTTTTTTGTACCTTTGCATAGCATATAGTATCAATTATCAAGAGTTGTATCGAATCTATTTTATATTCAATTTTTCCGTTCTTTACATCTCCAAAACGCTAACTGAAATCATAAACCCAACAGAAAAATCAATACAAAACTGAACACATATCTAAGAGCTAGTGAATTTGGTAACCGCCTTAGTACCCTCAGAAACGGCATGCTTAGCCAATTCACCGGGAAGGACCAATCGTACAGCAGTCTGAATCTCCCGAGAAGTGATGGTGGGCTTTTTGTTGTACCTAGCAAGCTTAGAAGATTCCTGAGCAAGCTTCTCGAAGATATCGTTGATGAAGCTGTTCATGATACCCATAGCCTTGCTTGATATCCCTATATCTGGATGAACCTGTTTCAACACCTTGAAGATGTAGATCTTGTAAGTCTCGATTGACTTCTTCGACCTCTTCTTCTTCTTGTCTCTGGCAGCAGCGGCGCCGCCGTCCTTAGGCAGCTTCTTGCCGGCCTTTGATTTCTCAGCGACGGCAGCATGGGCCTTCTTCTCTGCCTTTGGTGCCATCTAAGGGAATTTCAGAAATTAGTAAGAAATGGAGGGCTTTTGAGTTTAAATTTTGTGAATTGAAAGAGATGAATAGATTTATTATATATAAGTCAGGGCTAGCTGTTCATTGGTTACTTCTAAATGACGCGGATCGTGAAATTGAAGTTTGAACCGTTAGATGTTATAATCAATCAACGGTGGAGATTAAAGTTGCACTTTTTTTTTAATTACTCTATTTATTTTCATATTAAAAGTGATGAATTATTGGATTTTGTTTCCATGTTAGAAATACTCCTTTCATTTCAAAGTAGGTGAATCATTAGACTTTTTTTCATAGTAAATAGTTAAAAAATGAAGAGGATTGTTTTTAAAAAAAAGTTCCATTTTTCTCCTCATTTATATTTTCTCATATTTATGATTTTATTTTGAATTATTTATATTTAAGAAAAATTAAGCAGAATAGCAAATATTTAACCGTGTTATAGCTATAATGTAAGAAAATTGTAGTTTGCCGCTAAGGTTTCCTCAATTCTTGTTATTCGCCTGATTTTTATATAAATTCGTATATTTCAATTTCTGATTATATAAATCTAGAATTTCGTATACGGTTAATCTAGTTATTTGTATACAATTTATGAAAATTCATAAATACATGACTTTGTTTATGTATTGGCAAACGAAATATACAAACGAAGTTCTAAAAAGATTCTAAATTAATGTATAAATGTTAAATTTCTATATGATTATCTCATTTGTATATTTGCAAGCGAAATATACAAACATGTAGAAATATACAAAAATTTCTATAGCAAACAAAACTACAACTATGAAGCTCAATTATCAAAATTATAGGTATAGAGTCTTATTATGTTTATTATATTTGTTATTTATGGAATTTTCTCAATATAAGATTTTTTTATGAACATAAGAGCTAAAATGCTAAATTGAAATTAAGTCATATCATTGCGAAGTAGAGCAAATACATATCAAGGAAAGGATACGTAGAAACTTTGAGTATTCTTATCAACAAAAGTCTAAATCGCAATTACGCATTAATTATATAACTACAACACAAAATATAGTTGGAGTTTTGGTATATACCAAATTAAACTAATCACCTCGACGTAAATATTCACTTGTGCTAATTGTTCTAGTATGAAAATTTTTGTAGGGGCGGCAGTTATGCAAAGCTAGTGGGGTTTGTGAGTTCGGATAAATTCAATTGTTTTTCTATAGATTATTTATTTGTATTAAAAAATTAAACCAACATATATGTATATTAAGTCATCATTGTCAAGTAGAGCAAATATATATCAAGCAAAGGATACGTCGAAACTTTGAGTATTCTTATCAACAAAAGTCTAAATTGTGATTACTCATTAATTATATAACTACAACACAAAATATAGTAACAGTTTGGCATATACCCAAATTAAACTAATCACCTCAACGTAAATATTCACTTGCACTAATTGTTCTAGTACGAAAATTATTGTAGGGGCGGCACTTGTGCAAAGCTAGTAGGGTTTGTGAGTTCGGATAAATTCAGTTGTTTTTTCTATAGATTATTTATTTGTATTAAAAAATTAAACCAACATATATGTATATTAAGTCATATCATTGTCAAGTAGGGAAAATATATATCAAGCAAAGGATACATAGAAACTTTGAGTATTCTTATCAACAAAAGTCTAAATCGTAATTACTCATTAATTTTGTAAATTGAGTTAGAATTTTAGTATATACCCAAATTTAAATTAATCAGCTCGATGTACATATACACTCACTAATTGTATTAGTAGGAAAATTTCTGTAGGGGCGCAGTCGCACAAAGCTAGTGGGGTTTGTGAATTCGAACAAATTCAGCTATTTTCTGTAGATTATTTATTTATATTAGAAAGATTATATATATATATATATATATTCGTGAAGCCCTAACAAATTTGATTGACAACTTAATGATAAGACAATAGTCATGAAAAGTTTTTCATGCTAAAGTTGTGGGTTTGAATTCCACTATAAACATGCTAATTTTCTCCGCTAAATATCCTACAAAGGGATGATTTTTTAAAACTAATACAGGGGGGTGAGATTAATATAACTCAATGAAAAAATGAAATTATTTTCAAAATCAAACTTAAAAAAAATATTATACAGAGTGAATAATATAACTCAATGAAAAAATGAAATTATTTTTAAAATTTTATTTTCAATATCAAACTTAACTAAAAGAAATTTAAAAAAATTATGCATGCAGGTTCATGCGAAGCAGCAGGTTGAAAATGAAAAAAAATTATACAGAGTGAATAATATAACTCAATGAAAAAATAAAATTATTTTTAAAATTTTATTTTCAATATCAAACTTAACTAAAAAATATATTTAAAAAATTATGCAGGCAAAGCAGGTTGAAAAAGAAAAAAAAATACTATAGAGAGTGAAACGAAACAAAACAGTTTAAATTTTTTAAAAAATGTATGAATTAAGCTCGACCTTCCACGCCGGATTATCATCCCTAAATTCCTACTTGCAATTGGTTCATTGACTTTTAAGTAACTTAATGCGGCTATATAATACTCCCTCCGTCCGGTATCGTTTGTCATGATTTCTATTTTAAGAGTCAAAATATAAAAGTTTGACTAACATTATAAGATGTATTTTTCATCATATTAATATGCAAAAAAAATTATAATTTATAGTATTTTTCATATAGTTTTAAAATATCTAATTTTTTTTGTTTAAAATATCGAATTAATGTGTTCTAATTATCTTTAAAAATTAGTCAAATTGACTTTCAATAAACACAACATGACAAACAATTCTGAACGGAAAAAGTATATATATGTGTTGTCAACTAGACAAACAAGGCCAACAATCGCTCAGATAAGACTGGTCAACGGACCAGAACCGGGTCACCGGACCGGAATGAACCGGTACCGGACCGGACCGGAATCCGTTGACCGGAATTTTGACCGGTACCGGGATGAACCGGACCGGAATTACCGGGATGGTTCATCGGTTCCGTCCCGTTCCACTATATACCGGGACGGAACCGGAATGAACCGGAACGGACCGGGATGGAACGGGACGGGATTAACGGGACGATATTTTTTAAATTACGAAAATATAATTTTTTTTTATTTTTTAAGTATAAATTAATAGTTTTTAAATTTATACTATAATTTTTAACTTAAGTTTATTTTAAAGATATTTTTTTTTTTTATTATTGTTAAGTTTGCAAGTAATCTAATAAAGTTTTCAAAATTTAAATCTTTTGAAGTTTATACTTTATAAGTTATTACTTATATTTATTAATATTTATTTTATAAGTTATATTTATAACTTATATCTTGTAAATATTAAATAAATAAAATTTGTAATTTTAAAAATGTAAATTAAATTACAAAAATTAAAAAATATCAATTTAATTTATTTAAATTTGTAACAAATTACAATTTCAATTTACAACTATAAGTAGAGTACATAGCTTACGCAGCCACCTTCTAGGAAGGGTTCTGTTTCAACTATGTCTCGAATGTAATACTAATAGTTGTATAGTCCCGTAAATCCTCTTTCTAACTCAGCTAGGGATTGATTGTGATCAACTTCTGGTCTTGGTAAAGCTCGTTGACGATCTTGAATTTCGATGCCATCATCACTTCCACATCCAATAGTTGAATCTATGAAAAGTTCAAATTGACTATCTAACTTTGGAAGTCCTTGATTTCTACGCTCAGCATTTATCCAGTCTCTAAATAACATTGATATCTCCAGGCTGTCTTCTGCTAACGAATATCTGTGGTCTCCAATTTGAAATCTTGCCGCGCTGAAAGCTGCCTCCGAAGCTACTGATGATCCTTGAATTGCAAGCACATCCTTCACCATCCTACTAAGTTTTGGATATTGAGCTCCACGATTTCTCCACCAGTTCAATAGTTCCGGTATACCATTATCGTTTGTAATATCATCTGTACCCTGTTCAAGATATTTAACAAATTCACATTTATTAGAAGAGTCAAGACCAAGTTTATGTTTCACTCGTCCATGAGCACCTACTTGATTTGTAGACGTTTGAGGATTTTCAACATTATCTAAGAATGAATATTTATCATACATTTCTTTTGCAAAGTATTTTATACTATTTTGACATGTTACCAAATCAGGTTCTTCTTCAGGTTGAATATCTAAATTCTGATAAATGCATTCAACTAAAGCTTTTGTACCATATTCTTTATATTCGGGGTTGAAAAAAAGTGCAGTTAAATAAATTTGAGGAATAGGAAAAAAATATTTTTTAAATTTTGTAATCATAACTTCAATAGCAGAGGTGAATAAAGTATTTGTTTTATATTCAGAAAAAATAGATGAAATCTCACATATGTGTATTAAAATTTCAGAAATAGTAGGATAATATATTCCAGAAAAATTTTTAGTAGCATCATAAAATGATTTCAAAAATATTCTAAGTTCATTTACTTCATCCCAATCACTATCATTAATTTTAAATTCAGGATAAGCATTATGATTATTAAATAGCGTAGTAATAGGTTGTCTATATGCATAAGCAACTTCAAGCATATCATAAAAGGAATTCCATCTAGTTTTTACATGCTTCGGAACTTTTCTAAACGGAAGTTTAAATGCATTACAAAGTTCTTTAAATTGATTAATTCTACTACTACTATTCATATGAAAAATATAAAAACAAGCATTATCAATTTTATCACAACTATTTTCAAATAATTTCACACCGTCACTAACAACCAAATTTAATATATGCGCGGCACATCTAACATGAAAAGCATATTTACTAATAGGACAAAGTCTAGGTTCTAGCAAATTAATAGCATTTAAATTAGCAGAGGCATTATCTAAAGTAATACTAACGACTTTATCACAAAGACCAAAAAAATCTAAAATTTCCAACACAGTAGTAGCAATATAAATTCCAGTTTTTTTCTTTTGACAAATTTTATAACCAATAATTCTTTTTTGTAAATTCCAATTATAATCGATCCAATGCGCAGTAACAGTTAAATAATCAAAACCATTAGGACTACGACCCATAT